TTTTTTTCCAATATTGACCCAAATAACTAATAATAAGTGGCTTGAAAGAATGTAATTTCATTGTTCCCAATGGCCGATGTCGCCGAGGGCTTATTCTTAATAAAAAAATATAAAAATAAAAAGTGGCTTGAAAAAAACTAATTATAGGAAAATCACTTRATGCTTAAATATCAATATAGTAAACTCCGTATAACCTTCCCAACTTTGTATTTTACTTTCTGGGAAAATACAAAAACAAAACTTTATGAATGTAACATGAGGCACACGCTTCATAACATCGTTATGTTATTCTCAAGAAGGAAAGTTTTCAATACTTCAACTGTAACCTTTCAAAATGYATTTAATCATGTTTAGAGTACTTGCAGTTAGCGAACCGTGAAATCCTTTATTTTTACGAAGTACTTTAATTTTTAAGCATGTTTATTTAACAATATTGTACATATTTTATTATTCAACGTTTAGAATGGGACTCATAATCAGATCAGTAGCTATTCTGCTAACCATCATCGTAACGACTGTTTCCAGTATCCTGCACATAATCTATATGGAAGGCTTTTCTAAATATTTTTTCAGTTCATCGTGCGCMATACAAGTAAGTGTACACCATCTAAAAATGTAATCGTAGATATCGTTGTCTGCTTGTCTTAAAATGCAAAATATTTACGTTTTCGAATTCATTGCTTTTTTTCAACTCAATTAATCATTAATCACCCAATTAATAAACATTTAATATATTTATGTATAATATATAATATTCATACCATATAATATTATATTTATTCTAATGTCAATCCATGTGACCTTCAATTCAGGGTTTCGTTGTATTGTATTGCTACGTGTTGCACTCGGAAGATCCATTTGACTTGAGAACTGTTTACAGGCCAAAATCGTCACCGCAACAATCAAGCGATGATAACCATTCGGATTCTGCCGGAAGTCCGTTGAATTGTAAGTATGTGACCAGTAATTACCGACACAGTTGGGGAGAGAATATTCTGCCGTTTAAATGATTAGTGGTATAATTTATTTACCGGCACACGGTTGATGATTTGATACGTGGTGTGAATACGAATCACATCACGATCGATAAATTTCTATAAATACTTCACGTATATTTTTAAATTATAAAAAGCAGTGAAGTTTAAAATAAACATTTTTCCAYTTAATACTTCACAATTCAAAAAAAAATGTTTTTGAGTGATATACCTAATTCAAAAAGTTCGATGTGAATAATAAATCAAAAATCAACTCGTTTTGCGTATCGTAATGAATTCGTTATTGTTTCATGTCAAAAAAAAACCGATATATCTATACTATTATTTTTATTGTATAAAACATCAATCGTGATTAAAACAAATAACTGTGATCAATATCACCTAAACGCCATTTAAGTGTATATTATAGTAATAGATCTCTAAWWGGTCAATAACACGATAAAAAGAAAATGCCAACAATTAAATAAACAGCCTATGATAATATTAATCTGTTTAGTAATAACTTTTAGTGTAAGAAAACTAAAATTTTAAATTTTCAGGTTTTCCTAAGAACACTACAGACTACGAGATAAAACAATCGATWAAGAGTGACATAATAGAGATAACAGATAATCCACAAGAGTATTTTATCACGCAAGAAAAGCCAGTATCGATTGTCAGCAACCTTACTAGCTCGTTAAAAAAACTCGATAGCAATAACGAGCCTAAAAAATCCGTGACATTTCGTCACGACTTAATTACAGGTAAAATTATCAGTGCCAAATGTATGGACATCAGGAGCGTGATTAAGGGTTGATGAGAGATATA